CTGGCGCAGACTTATCTGATGCGCACTCACCCTCCACTCACACTCAACTCGAAGCGATGCACGACATCCCCTATCAGCGAGCCATTGGCTCGCTAATGTACGCTGCTACTAGCACACACCCTGACATAGCTTTCTCCATAGCGACACTTTCGCAATTTATGTGCAATCCCGGAACTGCTCATTGGGAAGCGACAAAGCGCGTACTACGCTACCTAAAGGGTACTAGCGACTATGGTATAACCCTTGGAGGGACTGATAGTGGGCTTGAAGCCTATGTAGATGCAGATTGGGCCTCTCAGGTGCACCGTCACTCCACATCAGGCTACATTGTCCTGCTCAATGGCGGACCAGTTGCCTGGAGCGCCCGAAAACAGCCAATAATCGTGTTATCGACAGCTGAGGCCGAATACATTGTGTTGACAACTGTTGGACGAGAGATCCTCTACCTGCAGATCCTCCTCGACGAGCTATACAGGCCCCCTACTCTCCCAACGCAGATCTACTGCGACAATCAGGCTGCTATAGCCCTCACCTCTAATAACAAATTCCACTCATGCACCAAGCATATCGACCTTCACTACCATTTCATCAGAACTCACGTCAGAAACTGAACGTTTGCACTCACCTATTGCCCGACGGACAACAACATAGCCGATGCTTTTACCAAGCCTTTACCTCGTCCTAGGTTGCAGAAGCTATGTCATCTCATGCACTTCGACAGCGCTTGAGGGGGAGTATTGGAGGAGGGATCAAAGTCCGGATGCGAGATGTCCGAAACGTCAAAGTGAGACCTTGCGAGCGCAGTCGACTGACGTCATTGACGTCGGTCATCAACCCGATAATATACTCCTACGCTACGTAAAATTTCCTATCACTATGCTAACTACATTAAAACTATGTACCATTTGTTTGAGCATCTCAGTCCTTCTAAACAAGACTGAGATGTAAGCTTATGTTCCCCCTTCCGTTATCACACAAGAGCCAAACATACCCATAGATATATTCTCTTCCTAGGTACTAGATCTGTACTATGAGTCCTTCTAAATGAGACTGAGATATATATTCTCTTCCTAGCTCCTCTCCCATGTGCCCGCTAGCCTTTGATCACCATAATTCTCTGGGCTTTCCGCCTTTCAGAGAATCCTGCAGCGAAGATTGACACGCTTGCAATCTCGAATACTGCAACCGTACATACTGCTGCGTTTGAGATATGTTTAGAGAAGAGGATCAATGAGAATGTGATCAGGGAACTATGTGCACCGGGAAAATAAAATGTGTTTATTTTAGAAACTTGCATTCAATCTTTGTACAAAGAAGTTCTCCTTGTGTTAGAGTCTTTTCGTTGTCTGTCCGACTCAAATTACATGACAACTCATGGTCTCGAGCCTATACAACCACAGATGGTCCAAGCTTAGTTGAACCTGGTTCGAATGCAAACCGGACCCTCCCGAACACGTTCGGTCCAGGGTTCGACCAAATGGCTGAACCGAACCTATGGTTCGGTTCGGCGTTCGGAAAATTTGCCCCAAGAACTGAACTGAATTGGACTTCGGCAGCACTACGATATACCATGGTTGGAGCTTGATATGGTGGTAGAGAATATAGAGGGCAGATCGAACTTGACAAGATAGAGGGATGTAGTATTCACTTCGCACCAAATTTACAGTGCTTGTCCTCTGTCCATATTAGTGTGCGTTAGTGCTGTGTTGTCAATTTGTCGTATTACTACCTCTAATTCATTCATCTAGATTCTAATGTTGGTTTTCAGATGCAGTGTCAGGTATATTGTCTCACCGCATCAAGCCTCTCTTGTTAAAAATAGTCAATAGTCACCGGTCGGAGATTGCCTTACCTATATGCAGCATGAGCACGAAGTTGGTATGCACTAGTGCCAGGTTGCAAGGCCAACTTTCAGCCAATCACACACACACCAATGAAATCCTACTCAACTGGTTGCAAGTCCCTAAAGAGGTTCGGCGAAGACTCATGTACCATCGCTGCTGCCCGGAATTCCATGAAGCCGGATGGGCAGAAATTTTTGCTGGAAAATGCATTAATCTTGACACCGTACACTCCATTATCTCCTCCTTGTGCAGCATTGACAAATGTACCGAAACCATTGGGGACATTGAGATCAAGTTCTCCACAGTGTCACCGCTACTGAAGCAGTCTTGAAGAAGATCACTACCTCTGCACAATGGTCTGTGGCATGGAATAGAGCCTCAAGGGCCATTAAGTTTGCATTCCCTCATTGAGAGGATGAGCTCGCCGCCTATGGGGAATACATCAACGACAAATTTGACCACAGTGTCGAGTGAGCGCATGAGAGAATCATTAGATTTGACAAAGCCGTTAGGAACAGGGCCGCAAACTCTCGAAGAGTTGAACTCTCTGACTTCTCGGCCTTTGCAGACATATATGAGTCCCACTTCTTATCAGACGGCAGGCATCATGACGAGGACAAGAAGTCAAAGCTCGGTGCTTCCGCACGGGATAAGACCTCCTTTAATCGGCAAGCACCTGTTGGTGGGAGAAGGATATATCATAACTGGCTTATTAGCCAAAAACCCCAATACATCCTCCAGTTTAGCTATCCATGCGTAAGATATGTACATCCCTCCTGTGTAATTATCCGTCTGAGACCAGACCCTTCAGTCACTTCTACTGTAGAACCCTGTCATAGGACGTGTACATTGGCCTGCAAAACCTGGATTACTGGATGCTGGCCGGTCCATGTAAAACCAGGCTCAGCCGATGCTGTAGAACCCTAGCAGGCCGATGCCTCACATAAAAAAATATCAGAGGTGTAGGAAGGGGCCAGCCGGCCAGGTTGATGTTAGCAGAATGGGCCAGCCCTGATGTGCAGTGTGTAAGAGGGGGCCGGCCAACATACCTCTCCCAAATGATGCATTCAGCCTACCTATCTCTGCAATATGTGAAAGGGGGCCGGCCAGCTACAAATTAAATTTCAGCTGAATGGGCCAGCCCTGATGTGCAGTGTGTAAGAGGGGGCCGGCTGACATACTTGTGCCAAATGGTGCATTAGGCCTGCCTACCTCTGTGTTATATGGAAGGGGGCAGGCCAGCTGCAGATTGAATTTCACCTTTGTGAGCCACATGGGCCAACCTGTATATGCAGTATGAAGAAGGGGGCTAGCTAGCATACTGCTACCATGATGACCTACCTGCCTCTGAGGTAGGTAGAAAGTGCACTCAACCTCACTTCAAAGCTGCAGTTGATGCAGCATTTGAGTAAGCTGTCCAGCAGACTGGGGTATAATCACAGCCAGAATGGCTGGCCCAGCATATCAGGCTGCAATATAAGCAACACAACTATTGCAATGTTAGGAAAATCAAACTGTGGTTGATGTGGCATTCAAGTAAGCAGTCCAGAAAGATTCAAAGTGAGGAACATTAAGGCTTAAAAGTAGCCACAATCATGCACAAAACAAGTTTGGTGCATGTCACTGTCCAGCAAGCTGGAGTATAGGTGAAGGTCAGATCGGTTGGCCCGGTATTACATATTGCACAGCTTGTCTGGCCAGCTTGGATATAGAAAACAGCCAGGCTGGCCGACCCAGTATTACAGGGTGCAACAACAGGCTGGCCCAGCCAGACTTGGCTAGGGTATTGGTGAAAGCCATGTGGGCTGGCCCAGTATTACACACTGCATAGCTTGTCTGGCCTGCTGGGGTATAGGACACAACCAGGCTGGCCAGCCCAGTATTACAGGATGCAACAACAGGCTGGCCCATGCTGGAATCTCACAGCCAGTCTCCTTTAGTAGAGTAAGTCTGATTATCTACTGTTTAAGCCTCACTATTTCAGATGCTCACCTTCTATATCTATAAGTGAGAGAAAGTGAATTGTTTCTGTTGTGCAACAGAAACGATTCACTTTCTCTCACTTATAGAGATAGAAAACAACAGGCTGGTTGAGCCTGTGTAGTTCACCTTCTATATCTATAAGTGAGAGAAAGTGGATCATTTCTGTTGCTTGTATATCATTTTCATGGCAATGATGTGCTAGCAACTGAAACGATTCACTCTCTCTCACTTATAGATATAGAAGGTGAGCATCTGAAATGAGTATCATGAAAATGATGTGCTCACTACAGAAACCATTCATTTTCTTTCACTCATAGACATAGAAGGTATTGCACCCTGTAATACTGGGCTGGCCGGCCTGGCTGTATTCTATACCCAAGCTGGCCAGACAGGTTGTGCAGTATGTAATACTGGGCCGGCCAACTTGGCTTGTCACCTATACCACAGCCAAGTCTGATAAGATTAGCAAAGTCTGGCTGGGCCAGCCTGTTGTTACACCCTGTAACACTAGGTTGGCCGGCCTGGCTGTGTTCTATACCATAGCTGGCCTGACATATTGTACAGTATGTAATACTGGTCCGGCTGGCCTGGTTGCCACCTACACCCCAGCTTGCTGGACTGTGTTATGTACCAGACTTGTTTTGTGCATGGTCATGGCTACTTTTAAGCTGGACTGCTTACATGAATGCTACATCAACCACAGCTTGATCATGCCAACATTGCAATAGTTTTGTTGCTTATATTGCAGCCTGATGTGCTAAGCCAGCATTCCTCAGTTGGCCAGATAGTCTGTGCAGTCTGTATGAGGTGGACAGCTGGTCATATAGTGCCATATTCTATATGGGCCAGCCTGCTGTTGCAGCCTGCACCTCTGGGCCGGCCGGCTTAGCTGGCACTTATACCCGAGCCGGCCAGACGGGCTGTGCAGTATGTATACAGTGGCCAGCCACCCATCCCACATTGGCCAGCCTGCTGTTGCAGCCTGTAATATATGTAAGGCTGGCTGCACACCATCATGGGCTGGCCTACTATTACAATATTTGGGCGAGGACACCTAACCTCATCTGGTATGTTTAGAAGTCAAGTAATTACATTATGAAGCCATCTTTAATATCAACTTGTCATGCTCCATTTTCCTTGAAAACTCTTCATGCCCTCAGCTACAAACTCAGCCTACATAGAAGCCTGCTTTTCAGCATATGCCCTATGCCCATTCTTGATGCTTTCATCTGCCCTTGCTCTCCACTCTGACTCCTGCTTCTGAAACCACCATACTGTCCAACACATTTCATGCTGTACCAACTTCAGCTCTTCACTCCAATGGTCATATCGTGCTTTTGCTTTCAACCAATTGACTCAATAAACTAGGAATGGGGAACATAAGCTCAGTACCTTGATAAAAATCAGATAAGATTAAAACTCACATTCATTCATCCACTCGCTCTTCTGGCTGTCCTCTGCACTGTTGATTCTCCAAAACCAAGCTAGCCTATCAGAACCCTGACCATGCCTATTTAGAATTGATAGGTGTGTCTCCCTTCGTGCACAGTGACAAAGAAGTTGTGAACATAAGGTTGCACAGTAGCCTCCTCCAAGAGGCTTTCAGGAATTGGAAAGCGCTGAGCACTGCGAGAGTGACCAGAGCATCATGTCAACATCATGACCTGACGAGGTCTGTTCCACAATGTAGAGTACAACCTGCACCACAGGTGAAGCTTGGGGGTCTGATTTGAAGGTAAACAAAGGTGCGAGAAAAGTTGGGATAACTTACAGAAGATGTTGGAAGGATATATGTGTGAGTGTTCACCATGCTGATAGATTGATAACAATGTAAGAAGTGGTAATAAGAGTGAGCAATGAAGATTATGGTAGTAGTATGGTTTTTAAATTTAGAGCTTGGCACCTAAGTTACCAAGGCAATAACCTACTTTTTAACTCTTCGTAATAGGTGTCTAGTTTGGGGATGTAGTTGCCGGCAACAGCGGGGAGCCGAACCAGTAATCAAGCACAACAATAGTATCTGAAATGTACTTTTTGTTAACACTGCAGTATAGTGAGGGTAATTGTGTGAACCTCATAAGGGTCTTAATACAGCACAGGTAATTGTACGAACCCCATAAGGTCTTAAAGCTGCTGCAGTGTGGATTAGAAAGGGTAATTGTATGAACTTCCGTAAGGATTTTAATACTGTAGCAGATTGGTAAAGGTAATTGTACACGCTCCTTTTAATGCTGCACCATCGCGAAGGGCAATTGTACAGTACTCTGAAATAATTGGAAGTTGTTATCTGAAAAACAAAAGTCTAGAAGCAGAAAGTCTGACAACAAATGAGAGGCACAGATAAATATGCTATGAGCGGGTGACTACAGTAGATCATCTTATCCACAACAATGCCTTTCTTTGCTACATTTTTCAAGCAGTTGACACAATCACAGTGCTACAAGCCACTAGCTCGTTTAACCACCTACAGTGGTTCTGTTCATGTGCTTGCAATTTCTAATGACAGTCGTATTCTTGCAGGTGGTGGTAAGTAGACAGTGAATCAGCCACAGGCAGTGCTAAAAACAAGTAGGCACCACAGGGATGAAGCTCTGGGATATCAATTCTCGCAAGGAACTCCTATGTTCATCTCATCATGAATCCCGCGGAACAGTCAGTTGTGCAGTCTGGACCACAATGAGGCAAACCGCAGTAGAGACCCTCTGTTACAGAACAGGCCTGGGTTATATATCATTTTTGCGACGTGGTCTCGTAGATGTGAGCGCCCAGGCATGCCAATTGACCTTTCACTGACAATAATAGAACAATTTTCAGGAGATTTGCACAAGGAGACTTGGATCGGGTTTTGAGATTACTTGCCTATCATGCCATCCAACTTCTTCTGAAGGCAACGTACAGATTGCAGTTGGAACAAGAGACAAGATGGTTCAAGTTCTCATACTCAATATGTGCTCCCAGCTCCAGTCTGTCTTCACAGTGCAGCTTGAAAATACAGTATCCAAGTCTGTAGCATTCATGGATAACAAAGCCATTTATGTATTTGGGTTGTATGATGGCAAATTGTTAGTCCCACTACCACTAAACATTCGCCTGCTAATCATCGAACAGCATGAAACTGGAGGATGAAGATGGTACTATAGTGGAGGAAGTTAGCTGTAAATCATTGATGTGAGCTGCTACTGCTCTTGACATGCATGTTACTGACATTACCCAGTGGCCACGCAGCAGTGTACCAAAAGTGTGGGGTTTTTGTTGTGGACAACGCAACAGATGGCTTTACGTTGTATCGCCTAGAAGGCAAGGGGGAGCCTGTTCGAACATTTGTGACTGCCTTGCCAAGCTTGTCAGTCCCAAAGCAAGTGGCATTTGGAGAAGAAGGCAAGGTAGTTGTAGGAGGAAGTGATAACGGACTGGCATATATATTCGATAGGAAGACGGGGCAGGTACTCGAAACCCTCCATCACACAGATGCTGGCCTGGTACAAACAATAACCATAAGCATTGAGATTGGGCACGAAAAATGTCACTCAACTGGTTTTCAGACGCGCGATCTTGATGGCCGCTGCACAATTGCCTGCGCTTCGCCAGCGTTAGGGCATGGGAACACCGCAATCAAGATATGGGTGTGCAATTACGCAGCGCAGAAGGCATCCAAGACTCCCTCGTAGAATTATTGGTCCATCTTGTGAGCATTGATGATCCTGATGCAAATACTGGCAGTGCTGTCGATGAGTATGTTCCTGGTAAACTATAAAGACTTGTTTTTCGTAAGTCAACCATTTGGCTGGCAGCAGTTTGACTAAATCACACCTTAGGATAGAGTGATAGATAATCTGCACCAGTATATGACTTCAGCAATGGTGGTTAATGCAGCTGACAACTTTTCGCGACACATCAAAGTGGCCATGATGTTTGACAACAGCCAAACAGAAGGACATACAGGAGGACCCGAGAATGATATCAGGATGCTCCACGAACTAGCAAAGAAGCTCATGGAACTAGCTGAAAAAGCAGGTGGAGAGATCGACAAAGAGAGACGCAAGAGCCTGGATCAAAAGACTAACCATCCCAGAGTAGCAACAGTAGATGCAGATAGGAAGGACATTGCTATCGTCCTAGCATAGTATAGTTGCACCATTGCACAAATAGATTGACAGTGCGTAGAAGGCCTGAAAAATCGCTGCCCCCTCCACTGTATGTACGGTGGAGGGGTTAACGAGATAGCTTGATCCTTGAGAAGTGAACGGCTGGATTGAAGACATTAGACACTGGCTTTTGCAGACTGGACGGTGTACCAAAGTTATGCATTATCACCACACCCGCATGATCTGAAGGATCACCAAGTGGGAAACCAAAGAAAGAGGTGATGTGCTCCATTCGGAGACATTGTAGACGAGGTGTGGCATCTGATGTTGGCTTGAAGGTCATGAGGAGGTGGTGGTCGAAATTCCAGTGATCAAGAGCACGACGGTACATACCATCGTGCTCAAAGAAGATCATGGCGATTGAGAACAATGAGCTCGACAGGTATGTACCGTCGAGCTCGAGAATGTGTTGGAACCATCATGATGAAGGTTCGAATATGGATGCTGGAACGAAAGTATTACATAAGCTATTTGTGACTATTGTGTATGTCATCGCCCACCAAAGTCATAAGTCTTAGTATGTATCTATCTTTACTTGCATGGGCTCAACCTGTTTGTACCGTCGAGCTCGCCTTCGATGACCTTTCTCGGCTTGACCGTTTGTACAATTGAGCCCATTGTCCTCCATGTCATTTAACCATCTTCCCAATGGCATGACTGTATGTACAGTCATGTCTGCCCCTCCCTGATTTCTTCGTCGATATCTAACCTTTGCTACACCCCTGGCTCAACGACCCCAATGGCCTCCTGCATCCCCCAGTATGACTGTATGTACTGTCATATCTGTCCTTGCGGCTTTACTTCGTCTTTGGAACGATGGCACCTGGGTGGTTATTGATAATAGATTTGGTATCCTTTCCCTGAGAACGGAGGTGCGCATCCTTTATATTCTGCCTGGCATCTGCATCGAGGGCCATCTGCCTACTTTGTGGAGAACTTCGTTTTGCCTATCATTTCCTATACTCACACTCACTTGAATTTTCCTGCTCTTACAGATGATATACCTCATCCCTGGACAACATCTGCAACTTCTGGTCTTCAAGAGTCCCTTCTTTGTTCCCTCGGTCGAGCCCCAGCCTTCAGAATTGAAGGCCATCATTTTGAAGATGATGGCATCTATATTCGTGCTCATTTCAGGGTGCCCTACATTCATTTCCTGGTTTGGTAGTTATTATTGAAGGTAACGTTGTTGTATCAGACGTGCTGCTGTTATTGACATTCTGTTGTATTCCAGCAACCATTGTTCTTTTTGTTGGTTTCATCACTACAAATACGTCATTTTTTTGCCTCCCTGCACTTGGACCCTCCACTTCATCGTGATCATCCAGAATCAATCCCACGACTGACAAGAGGCTGTCTTATTGTAGCCACCTCTGCCCTTTATGCCTGCATCCTGTGCAGTGTATAAATGGTGCACCTGCCAGGAGTGCATCGAAAATGGTGGTCGTACAGAGAATGGCACGCCTAAGGGGGTGCTCATTGCAGAACATCTCATGGCAGCCCATCTCCAACGTACCCAGCATGGACAGGCCGAACATGTTGTGCTTGCTCATGCAGCTGACTCTGTCGGGCAGGATGATAGTGTAAACTTGGTAGCCTCTCAACTCTGCACACTCATTCTGACTGACAGCAATCCACCTATCGCTGTCTCTGCAAGGACGGACATATCTCATGCCGCTACTCCTGTACATGGCCCTGAGCCGGAACAACCCAATCTTATTCCCCCACTATCTATTCCAACTCTAGCAGATGATCTTGAGCGACTCACACTGTCCGACCCTTTGTTGCACAAGACACCCAAAGGCGCAGAAATCGGCAGACCAAGGAACAGAAATTGGTGAACCATGACGGACTTGAAAGTTCTCGATAATATCAAGTTGCGTGTTGAGCGGTGTTTCCACTTATTATCTGCTGGTAATTCCGACAATGTTTGTCGCAAGCTACTCTTGCTTCACAAAGCTGTGGAGAACGTGAAACAGAAGGTGGAGCTTGTGGTCGCACAGAAGGAGGCAATTATGTTGGAGATAGATGCTTTAGAAGCCCAGTTCAACAGTTGCAAGCCTTCCGCAAGGGACAAACCAGTCGAGTTTCGATACTGGTCAGCATTGTCCATTTTAATCATGGTGCTGTGCTCATCAATCAATAGACGTTCACTATCAATCTCCTGTAAATCACTACAATGAAATTGCACAGGTCGCATTATTCATTGGTGTGATGTGTAAAGTCATCATGGGGGTCAGTAGATGAGGCTGTGACTTCATCATGAGACTCATTTCAGTCCTGCTATTCCTCACGTTCCAGAGATCGGATGGTAGCCTCAGCTCTTCCCATGAAAATGTGCTGAGGCAAATCCTGATAACTTTCGAAACCACGCTCACAAAATTCCATCTCACCGGGAAAACTGTTGTATATGCAATCTGCCCCAGCTGTCATTGCACTTATGGCTCTCATTATGCAGAAGGCTCGACTATCCCTACATATCCCGAATGTTGCGCACATAGACCCACACCAGAGGCCGAATGTGGCCAGCCAGTACTCGAACATGGCCACGATGGATTACTCCATCTGAAGAAGACATTTGTGTACCATGATTTCAAAGACTATCTCACTGGTCTCCTTTCCTGTGCAGATATTGAGGCTGCGATGGATCAGGCTTGCAATGATTTGCAGGACTCAATTGACTCTCTGCATCCACCCTTGATGAAAAATGCATTCGAAGCTCAATTTCTTTGTCAGTTTTGTGGCCCACAGCCAAGTTCCCTTTTTATTGATAGAGGAGAGGAGGGACGTTATGCCTTTGCCCTACACATTGACTTCTTCAATCCGGAGGGTATGAACTTGCGTGGTGCTAGCACCTCATCTGGAATCATTTCTATGGCATGCTTGAATTTGCCATCAGATATTAGGTACAAGCCTGAAAATTTGTATCTTGCAGGCATCATCCCGGGTCCGAAACAACCATCACTCGAGCATCTTAATCATTACATCCGACCACTCATCGATGACATGGTGGATTCTTTGAAGCGCGGTCTCAAACTTTCCAAAACGGCTTGCTATCCTACCGGCTGGCTCACTCGCAGCGCTCTCGCTCTTGCTGTGTGCGATCTTCCTGCCACTCGTCACCTCGCTTCTTTGGCTGGAACAGGTAGCCACTTTTATTGCAGCACATGCAATTGCTACCACAAGACCACCTATGGTAGAGTGGACTTCGAGCGTTGGGAACTTCGGGATAAAGATAGACTATGGGAGTTTGCTGAGCAGTGGAGGGATGCTGCGACGACCTCCAAACGTGGGAGGCTATTCAAAGATCATGGTGTCCGTTATTCAGAGCTGTGGTGTTTTCCATACTGGGATCCTTCATGCCAGCTTGTTATTGATCCAATGCATTGCATATTGGAAGGTTTGGTCCAGCACCATACCCATAACCTTCTTGGCCTGACTACAGTAACCACGCCCACCTCATCAACTTCAGCTCCTCCAGCCTTTTCATGTGACATGTTCGATGTGCCTCCAGGGACGATGTCAACCAAGGAAATGACTCAGGTCTCTGCTATACACACACTCCTTGTTTCGCAGCTGTCTTCTTCTGATGACAAATTAGATGACGACCTTGACAAGCTAAAGAATTCTTTGTCTCACAAGAATGCAGTACCTCTCAAGTTCATTTGCAGTGTCTTGGGATGCATTCCTCAAAAATCTGGTAGAATGTTCAAAATTGACTATACTAAGGCTCTTGTAGAATGGGTAAGTTCTTTGATGTGCCATGGCCTTTTTGCGAGTTTCCTATGTTATTTTTTAGCGCCACAGAAAACCTTTTGCTGCCCCCAAGAAGGAACACCGGTTTGTGTCTCCAGATGTGCTCATTCGTGTTCAAGATGTTATCCAGGAGATGACCGTTCCAACTTGGTTTGGTTCAGTCCCGAGTAATTTTGGAAGCACATCTGCCGGGACAATCAAGGCTGACTAGTGGCGCTCACTGATCACTGTCTACATTCCCATCGCCCTTATCAGTTTGTGGGGGGCTGACACCTTGCATCCTTCCGATGAAGTTGGAACCCTCCTTAGAACCGTTCTCAATCACACGATGGAACTTGTTTGTGCAGTATATCTCGTGTGTGCCCGAACAGCAACCACAGATAGAGCACATGCTTATCGTTCCCACATCGCACGTTATGTATGTCGCAAACTTGACAAAGATACACTCCACCTTCGCTCTGCGTCCAAATCACCACGCCGCCTTCCACATATATGACGTCTTACTTCTATTTGGACCTGCCCACTCTTGGTGGTGCTTTCCTTTTGAACGTTTAATCGGAATACTCCAGCATCTTCCAGTTAATCACAAGTCAGGTGAGTCATTATGGAGCGTCAGTTAGAGTGGTATGGACTGATTTTTTGCAAGGCGAGTTGGAAGCTATGATGCTACACTCTTTTATTAGGACTGCGAAGCTTTGCTGTTGGCTCAGTCGAGCAGATTGTCTGCCAGCTATTCAGGAGTGCAAAGTTCTGTTTGACAGAATGTATGCTCCCAAAAGCGCTGCAAGCCTCAATGAAGAACTTGCTGAAGATCCCTTGGACGACAGTGTACAGGTTCCCTCCTCCGCTCTACCTGTCGTCATACCCAAAGACTTGTATGCCCTTATCAAATGACAGAAGGCGGTATTGCGTGCAAGACTAAAATTTAACAGTATTATCTACAGCAGAGCCTCAATGCATGTTGGAAATAGTCAGGTTCTTTTTTATCCTCAGGGTGACCGGTTATTATCTCCTGTCCCTGGCAGTATTCAACATATCTACACGACGCCCACAGGTGAACTGGTGTTTGCTTTACACAGACAGCTCCCATTCGATCGTCACGACACTATTGATCCATTTGCTGTGTATCCTGATTTTCCCGCAAAATTGTATTCGTCAAGCTGCAGTAGTCACTTAGAAAATGTCAAGGTATCTTGGGTTGTTAGCCACTTTGCTCGATGGGAGATTTCGAGTGATTGTGTTGTCATTCTATCTCTATGTCATGTAAGTACAGTCATTCCTAAAATTTTGAGCATCAGCGTCTGACTGCTGTCAAACAGGATTAAATTTAGTACCCTGTTACCATAGTCAAAATTTAACATGTTTTGTATATTTGCTGTCCCGCACCCAGCTGGCTCTACTCATTGTTACAATAACATTTTTCTTCTGCTTCTTTTCTCTCTTTATTCCATAACACACCTTCCATCTATGATCACTTACCTTTCTTGGATCATGTACTTATATCTCACGACTACCTTGGTCTGTGCACGCATATTGACTTATTTAAGCACGTGTATTAGCTTTGTAGAACTTCACTTGAATCTTACTAGGTTTTACCAGAACTTCCTTCGCTTAAGACCTCCAATCTTAAGTTGTCTGAACCAGCATTCTTAGTCGAAGCACTCCTTCAATTAAGTCTTTACAGAACCCCTTCTTTTCTGAAGGGCTTTACGAATCTCAACAGCTGAAAGACTCTGTCGAGTCTCTGTTGTTAGAACTATCCTAGTTCGTAATACTCATAGATTAAATTTTCACGGAATCTAACATCAGTCTTGATACAGGGACTGGTTCCCCTGCCCCCGCCTATACTTGTGGCATAACAATTGTGAGCTTTGATCTTGAGTAATCTGGATGGGCGCACCTCAGGCAGTAGTTTTCGGAGGTAAAAGGTAGCCTCTTAGGCCGGGTTTCTATGTTATGGGAAACTGGCCTGAGAGGCCCAGGATTCGCCAATCTAATTTTAGGGCTGTTCTAAAAATAAAATCATGACTCGTTGCCCTCCCCCACCACCTTGTTGCCCTCCCACTGGGTTGCTCGCGTGCCTCACATGCACCTAGGATGCCACCTCGTTGCCCTCATACTTACATGAAAATGTCCTGTATTATTACCTTAATTTAGAAATAAAAATATCCAACTCGCGTTCTACCTTCACTTTTATGGCTCCCCAGCCCTCAAATACACGTGCTGCCCAGCTCACAACATCTGGATTGGGCGCCCAATTCGTCAGTCCACGGAAACCCAGAAACAAACTCAAGACCCAGACGTTAGTCGAGCTGCCCGGGCAGAAAGCAAAGCAAGATAAACTACAAGCCAAGTTAGCAGCCCTCCTCGCAGGAAAACCAACTTCAAGTTCTGAACCAACCACTACTTCCACCTCACCTGATATCGAGAACACTCCCGCCGATGCTTACGAGGATTCCTTCATCGAAAACAAAGTTTTTCCACTTATTCAACCTGACGAATCTGTTCCGCCACTGAACACCTCTGAATGTATTAAAAGTCATCGAATTCTACCTGATGTTGCCGCCGCACGCTTATACGATACCTGGAAAACACTGATACCCACACTCGTTGATGTTCAACTCAGGGTATACTCAGAGGACCGTCGGCAAGATTCTCGAGCGACCTTCAACGGTCTTGTCTGCATGTCGCTCCCAGAAATGTGCACAAAGGCGCACGACCTTGATTGGACTATTCTTCGATAGTAAGTCCCTAGCTATTGAATGCTTCAATTCATCAATGATTTCCAAGGTTTCACCTCCCTCGACGTCTTGAGCTGCAGATGCGCTACTGCAGCTCAAGTCCTGATTCTGCACGGTTTGTTCCCCACTTCACCCTCCCAGCCGCGTATGGCAGTGTCTACGGACTTGCTCGCGTTCTATCGTGCGCTTTTCGAGCGCTCCTGTGATGCTGTAAATGCACTCGCATCTGCCCTTCACACGCATTACGTCCGTAGAGGTTTTCGTATGACCAATGGCAAAGTAAGTGAATCTATGTTGAGTTCCTTCGATTCTTACAAAACTTAGGGCGAATTCATTCAAGAGCCTTTCCGGCGAAGTCTTGGTCAAGCCATTCTTTGGTTTGACGTCTTACAGGTGGAGCTTGAATCCCAGCTTGAACGCGCTGTTCAAGCAAGCCGAGACCTCATAGAGGCCTCTCGAGAACCTCCAGAGCATCCCGCACCATTTATTCCCACTGTAGACGTGATTCCACGCGAGCGCTGTGCCGCGATCCTTCTTCAGCGTTGCCCTGCCTGTTTTGGAGGAGTCGTCTTTGGCAGGAAGCTGGAAGAAGGCGGTGATATTCATGTCGCTACTGATGGCAACTTCCATCATCGACATCGGCGTTCAGCAGGCGATTCACCTCACTTCTATGATCCCTCCTACTTCTTACCGAAAGCTCAGGTCGACGCCATTGGTCGACACATTGATCGCACTCGCAAGTCTGCTCCAAAGCCGCATGCACCACTTGTACCTCATGAGGCTATCGACCTGTGCGAGAATTCGTACGAGGCCGCCGATGGGAAGAAGCAGAAAGCAGCCATGGACAGCTTCGACAACACGGGAGTCATGGCATTGATATGTCGACACGACATTCCCCTCTTCTTTGCAAACATTGACACCCCAGGTGAGCAGCAAAAATATGCTGTCGCCCTAATCGATCACCTCTTTGCTTTAATACCTGGAGGCACAACAGTTGTTACTCTGTATGATGTGGGATGTGTTCTTGCACGATCTTTAAGTCAGGTGAGTCATTTCTGTAATTCTTCGAACCTCATTGCTGATCCCTTCAAGTACGACATACTTGCTGAAACTGTAACAAAGCGCTTGCGATTCGCAACCACCGCAATGCATGCCTATGGGCATGAATGGTCGTGCCAACTTATTTATAACCCACGAATATGCGAAGGTCTTGGCCTTTCAGATGGAGAAGGCACTGAGAGACTATGGTCGAGGTTTATCCGCTTGATAGGTATCCAGCGCTCTTCGTCAGTAAGTGCCCTCAATTTTTGTATCATTTCTACTGATATTTGAGTTACTATAGAGACAACGTCGGTTATGGCTACTTGACCGACAAGCTGCTGCTATCGGTCTTGAGATGCGCGCTGACCTTGGGGACTGGATCCGGCGTCGACTTAAACGAGGGATTGATGAGCAAGGGACAGCTGCACAGGCCACGCTGAGTGAGTGCGATGCGACAATTGAAGATCTGCGACATCAATGGGCTCTGCAACGACAGTCACAGTTGTCTATCCGTGCTCGTCCGTTCAATTTACTTCGTCAGCCTGACCATCTCTAACTCTATTCTATAGATGCCCCTGCTCGGCTCAAGAAAGAGCTGGACACTGTGTTTGCCCTCCAAGGTGACCTTGATGCCTCAGAGAAGGCACTTCAAGCCACGAGCGAGGTGATATCGAAGGGAAATGCGTCCCAATGCACGCGTGATGCGATCGAGAGCCTCGAACGAAGTCACCAGCGCCTCATGGACAAGGTGGATGTGTTATATGCTTCCCTCAACGTTCACGACAGGTTCCCTGAGCTAGAAGGAATCAACGTCGAATTCGTTCGCACACTTCTCTTAGCACGGGACCTGAAGATCAACATCCGGAAGCGCGCAATTGGGAGCTTCTTCGAGTGGGACAAACTCGATCGTGCTGTCGGCGGCACACAACAAGCATTAGGTAGGTGGATAGACTCGCTCAGTGACGTGTGTTCACACTTTGCAGGGACCAAACTTCACCAGCAGACCCGAAAGGCCATATCAAAGCGACAACCAGCCTTACTGGCCGCACTACGCAAATTCAATGGATACTGCGAACGCCTTGAAGAACTATACGAACCAGATTGCAGTATCCCTCTTCCGACGCCTCTCCCTACCAAGCTGAATGAACTCCGTAATGATCAAACATTGATGGAGGACATTTGGATTACACCTTCAGTGGGCGACGTTCCTCGTTGGCTGGATGATCAGGATGTCCGTGATGGGATACGCGCTATGTTAAAGCGTGATAGATGCATCGAGGAGCAGAGACGGCTTGGGCTAGAAGCTGACAACCTTTGCAGGTGGTTTGGCGATGAACTCGCTGCAATAGAACTCGCTCTACAGTTGCCTGAAAGTGTGTACCTTCCTTTATGTCACCTTCGATCAATGCACTAATTCCTTCACAGATATCAGATTTTCCATCTTACTGCGTCAGCGGTGGGAGCATCTCCGACATCTTCAAATTCGCTGGTCCAACCCACTTGTGTCACCATTACGATTTGAATCTCGCGCAAGACACGCTGAATCATTGGCGATGCGGATCTCAGGTGCCTCCCAAGAATGTGCACTTCACTGGGTTCCATTGATATCATGCACCACTTCTGTGGAGGAGGAAGAGGGCGCAGAGGATCCGGAGGTTACCGCTACGTTTTTCGATGATCCTCCACCTGAACACCTTGCCCTCGATGACATCATAAACGTTGACACTCTTGACAGTGAAGACGAAGAGGACATCGATATCCCAGCTGACCCTCGTGCTCTCATCACCTGGCACACTCCCCAGGTAAGTCATCTTTCCTTACCAGGCGTCCATGCATTCATAGTTTATCTAGCGAGTCATCATTGACGCAGTACCACCGATGAATGAGACTACCGTTATTATCCCTGGAATCCTCAGAACTTTGGTATGTCCCGCCCGCGATGCATTCCCACAGCAAATTTTCGAACCAAAGGACATCAAGATCCTCGCATCAGCCTACTGCGCTACTGAACGATAGCCTCATCAACGGTTGTGCAGTGTTGCTTTATTTAGACTCTTTACAGGCTTCTCCCGCTGTCCAACAATACGCGATTTTGTCCACACACGACCTCCCCCGCATTCGATACAATGCATCAGATGACATGCTTTGGCGCAACATATCACGGACTAAATATTGGGCCAAGGATGTATGGATCATACCAATTCATAGGCCCTCGGGTGTCGGTCATTGGGTCTTGTGTATTGTGCACCTCCAGAGCAAGGAGCTTCATCTCTTTGATAGCTTCGCTGAGCAATGACCTTGGAAGAGTGAGGTCAAAGTGAGTACTGACATAGTACCTCTTTCATTAGACTTAATGCATCTAGGACGTCATGAAATTGATTGTTCGGCTTTTCAACATCGCTCGGCAACATCAACGTGTGTTCAAAGTCGACGTTGACTTCTACGGTTGGGTTGCGCGACCGCTGATAGTAAGTATGTTATACATTAAACGTACACTTATCCTAATTTTCTATCAGAAGACCGCGGTTCAGACTAATGGCTATGACTGTGGCATATGGGTGCTTGCAATGATCGCGGCAACTTTGCATGGATGCCACTGTACGGGTTTGAAAGAAGACCATATGTCTGCGTTTCGTCACTACCTTCATACACTTGTCGTATTAATGTGTAACTAAATATATGGATCAAGTCCGTTTAACATCTTCTCAACCTCAGTGTGATAGAGATAAATCCTGCGTGCACGCCATCGCAAGAGACATTGGGCCATCTTGATGTGTCTATCACAGTCCCTTGCGTCAGAGATATAGTCTTGCAATATGTACCACTCTCCCAGCAGCACGCCAATAGCATGTTTCAACTCTGTACAAAGATCTGGCCTTCCTGCATTGTACTTCCGTGCACGTTGTTGTAGCTGCTCCTTCTCTAAGCGTGAGTTATGGCCGTGCATGACCTGCACAAGGTTTTCTGTGAATCGAACCTCTGCTGGAGTGTCGGATGGAGGAGGCATAGCGTAGGGGGGATTATTGTCCCATTGTGGGAGCTCTGATTCATCGAGGTTGTCAGCACTTTGGGAAGTGCAACGAAATAGATCACCGTCTGGAAGGGAGGCGTTTGCTAGATTGATGAGAACTCGAGGCAGGGGTGGAAGCCGGGATGATGCTAGGGGTGGCTTTGACGAGCCTTTGCGACTGTGTGCTTTGGCATAGTTTTGAGAATGTCGAAGTCGACGAGTAGCTTTCCCCCTGCCAATGACAATGTGGAGGTTAAGAATGCCATGTGCAGTGTGGTGTAAACATACCTCTCAGACTGTGCATAGTTCGCCTTTTGTCTGCGCAATGCAGCTGTTTTTTCTGCCAACGTTAGATATTTGGCTTTTTGACCCATAATGACAGTAGAGAGATGCAAAGGCTGAATGAAGTTCAGTGAACACATGCATGCAATTAGCTACTTATTCTACGGACGGACCTTCTTCACTCAAACATTGGGAAATTTTGGTACCAATCGAACCGGCAAAAAACGAAGAATTCAAAAACCACTATCCGCAAAGTCTACGCGAAGACGAGCGTGGTTGGGATATGTTTTTCGTTGGTCTTGAACTGTATCTGAATGCCTATTGGCTAATCAAGCCGCATGTGCTGAACTCCCCATTTCGTCAAGGTTCGAATTTGACTTATGTACCTAGGGGATCCATCAAGATCCATCAAGATCCATCGGCGCTCTTGTAAGAAATCGAAAACATCACAGGTGAGTTAGTCCATTTATTTTCTTGACTGTGTCTACTACTAGTAGGAGCAATTGACGATATCTGGCCGTTCCTGTCCCTACACATTCACCCTCCCTCTATCCAACTACTGTCCACCATCCGACCCTTGTCGTGATGCACCAGCCAGCTCCTCTAGCGCCTCCCACCTGAGTTGGAGGATCCGAAACTTCTATTTGTGGATCCACGATGGACCATCCACTGGTATACATCCCTCTGCCGGTCTCTCACATATCCTTGCTCACTCGTCTATTTTCCCAGTCTGCACGATCATCATGCTGCGTCCCCCCGTTCATAAAACAGAACAAAAAAATTTTGAAGCGAGTCAAGAGAGACGCCAACATCATTACGCAAAGTAAGTTTGAGTTTTATTTATTGTCTTTCACAGACGGCAGGTCAACTGACATACAAAGACACAGAGACGGTATATTGAGTAGGCGACGAGGGCTTCGCCTCACAAAGCCATTGCAGGAGGTACAGGAGATTCAAAGAGCACTCGCTGTAGCCTTAGGCTATGATGAAGATCTATCTGAGCCAGAGACGAGTGATGACGAGAATGACGCACTGTATGTCATTTTTTTTAATAGCGAAACATAAATTAAATATCTACAGATCAATAGATCTCCCATCGTGCCTGCTCGCTTTCAAAAGCATCAAGGACGAGATGTTGGTGCTAATTGGAGAACCCTGCGCATTTACAGAGAGTCTCCTCCTTCAGTACGTCAAAAGCTTGCCAGATGAAGTGCATGGCAAGGGCGACACCTCAATCATTCAAAATGCGAAAACAGAGGTCGAACGCTTACTCCGCCGTGCAACTCGAGTGCAGGATCAAATCATAATTTTCTGTGGAGTCTCGACCGAGTCTCGCGCTACTGAATCAGTCTCCCGGTTCTTAAGCACTACACTCGCTTATATAGATGATATCCAGTATTTTTTGGACATTGAAGGACTCACTGAGTTGACGGTTGCTCACTCAATGGGTGAGCTGATGTACCAGAAGAGGATTCCGTATCTAAGGCTTATATTCACGCATTTCGTCTCGATACATTCTCCCCCCTTCACCAGTATATAGAACCTTTAGTACTACAACGATGCCCAATGACACTATTATACAGCGCGCACAACTTTACTTCCCTGGGTCCCAAACAACTCATCGACCTCCACTTCATCCTCGTGCATGGCACCATCAGAATATTGTGAAGCCTGCCCAAGGTAGGATATATCCGGGATGAGTTCATCGATGTTGGGTTTAACTACCGGTAAAGGTGGGAGCAGTGCTGGACGAGCAGGACGAGGACGTGGTGTAGGAGACACACGAGGACGCATGGATGCAGGACCAGGACGAGGACGAATGGATGCAGGACCAGGACGAGGACGAATGGATGCAGGACCAGGACGAGGACGCACGGATGCAGGACCAGGATGAGGACGAGGCGCATCAGACACTGGTGCAGGGGATGGCTCGGGGGAGGTGTCGGAAGAGGTGTCTGTGGACACGAGGCGACGAAGACCCCTCCTACGAGGACGCGGCGCATCAGACACTGATGCAGGCGCATCAGACACTGGTGCAGGGGATGGCTCGGGGGAGGTGTCGGAAGAGGTGTCTGTCAACACAAGGCGACGAAGACCCCTCCTACGAGGACGCGGCGCATCAGACACTGATGCAGGCGCATCAGACACTGGTGCAGGCGCATCAGACACACGAGCCAGCGATGCAGGACCAGGACGTGGACACGGCGCATCAGACACTGGTGCAGGGGATGGCTCGGGGGAGGTGTCGGAAGAGGTGTCTGTGAATTCGAGGCGACGAAGACCCCTCCTATCAAGACGACCGTTAGCAAACCAACACCAACCACGTCTGTTGTTGGAATCAGGTGCGGGCGCTTCCCCGACGATGACAGGCCTACGGGAGGCCACGAGCTTTGCACGGGCATCTTTGCCAGTGATGGTTTTGACAGTGAGTAAATTGTTCTTGAGGGCATCGGCAAAGATTTGGCGCTCACGAAGCGTAAGGTCGTGTATCCCCTTGCTCTTTGCAAGGGTGGCGCGTCTCTCCCCAGGCATCAGAACGTTTTCAGGGTAGTGTTGGAGGACGTAGCCACGTTTGGCTAGTTCAGCGGGTAGCCTTTTCCATGGAAAGAATCCCCCTGGCGCTTCAAGTTTTCCTGCAAACATTTTGACTTGATTATTCTATTACAGATGTCAACCACAGCACTTACCAAGCAACGCCGCTAGCCCAGCAACAATACATGGTATACCATCAAGCTCTTTCCATGTGTTAGAATCATTCATTTCCCCCTGCCTCTCCAGCCACCTTTCCAACGTCGTCTCTACTGGCAAATGGTGCCGCGATGCAATGCATTGGAGGGAACGGTCGAGTTCAGTGAAATCCATGATCAAGATGTATAGGTGCGGTAGAGAAAGATCGCGACCATTGCAGATAAAACCCATCGCCATCGATTGCAGGACACAGAAGGCCACGATAAGACATCGTGGTCGATTGCAGAAGCTCTCGGGACTTCAGAAGGTGCGTATTAGTTAACATTATGATACTCTATAGGATGTATATATTGTGCAATAAATGGAAGCACTCATGGCGTAGTGGTTATTGCGCAGTGGTCTTTGCAACGCCCTGCTCCCCAGTTCGACCCCACTGATATTCCTTTTTTCTTCAGACCCACACGAGCCTCCCCATAGCCTATTGTTGTGAAGGGAAAACAATCGGAACAACTCGGAACAAGGAAGCCTTACTTCCGCACTCGGCTACGTTTGGAACAGGGAAGCCTTACTTCCGCACTCGGCGACGTCTTGCCTGAGCCTTCATTAACATTGCTCATCGGGTGTAGCACGCTGAGAAGTTCATCGTCAAACGTGAGCATCTTGGTTAACTTTATTTGGCACTGTACTAAGGGTCGCGCAAGAACACACGTGAGCTTTACTCCACGTAAACACATAGAATCCTTTCCACTCGTTTTGGTCAACACAGGGCTTTTTTCAACTTCTAAATTGTTTTTCAGAAACGTCCAGCAAGCACTATGCATATGCCACCCTTTTTGGCAAGTTGAATGCGATTGTAGGTATCTTCCACTTCTCATCAGATGAGCCTTTTCAACCTTTGAGCGTACTCCACTCATTCTCACAATTTTTTCCCCAGCAAACTATGTCGTCGGTGACCGAACCATTTTTCATCGAGCGTGTCTTCACCTCGTCTTCACCTCCAGTCGTCTTCGTCAATCGCGCACTCTCCACGGCAAGCCCAGAGTTCACCATCATCAATCACAACCATCCAGAATTCGAGAATGCTGTGAGATCGAGGGCGGACGACTCTGTCCTTCACGTCTACAAGGATGTTTTCTATAACATTCCAGGTGAGTCAATCAACACGTGTATCCTTCTCGCTAAACTGTTATAATATTTCAGTACAAGTCAAACCCTCTCAAAGCTTGTTCTATGTCACCCGGGGGTCTCACATTGGTGTAATGGCAGGCTGGTGAGCACAGATTCATTCCAGGCGCTTGTCGTATTTGATCATTTTTACACTAGGGAGAATGCACTCAACTGCGTTCTGGGTGTCGCTGGTGCTGTTTACCATGAGGTTGAGTCTATTGCAATTGGGGAGGAAAAAGTCAGGATTGCCATCGATGAAGGACGAATTAAGATGGTGGAACCCTGGGCCTTCGACGAGTAAAGTAGTTATCATACGTATTTCCCAATGAAACCAGCCTGCATTCATATTTGCGGCAACCTCGTGTCAAACCTCCTGCGCCATCAGGTGCTCCAGCGCCTCCTTGGAGGATCCCTCATCATTTAGCAATTTGCATGGTCTCTCGAGCCTCTCGAGCCTTCCTGGAGGAGTGTACTCGTGTTATGTCACACAGGTACGCAGTGAGTCGCCGTCGATCTTCTGTCCTAGTGATTTTCTGTCAGTGAATCCCTATGGAATGCGAGCTGCTACTCTCCCAGAAATATGGAAGGCACGAAAGCATCGCATGCACTTTTTTTTCACACCTTTTTCCTCCCGCTCGTATTGCCGTCAGTAGGATCAACGTTGCCCTCGAGACTTGCTAGTATTTGCTTAGACGAAGGTGAATGCATCTTGGCTGGACCATTTATCACTGACTCATTTTAAACGCGGACTAGCCTTGTGTTAGTCTATCACTGACTCATATTAAACGCGGACTAGCCTTGTGTTAGTCTATCACCCATCATATATCTTACGTCTTTTGCTCCTCTCCCAAGTAAGTTTGCATGTTCATAATCTGCCATAGTCAGTCTGACTGTGTTTCTAATGTAGAAATGAATGAAGAATATCTGCCAGAAAATTTGGCGCGCTCCTCAACGCCCTCTTTCACAGCTTTAGAACCTCACCCTGAGCAAATCGGAGGAGGGCGTCAAAAATCACCCCCCCCATCCAGACTCCCACCAAACTTCGCACTCGCATAAGACCCACCTCACGCGACGGTGGTCTTATTCGAAAAAGCGCCCGCAATAGAGCGAAACTGGTTCCAGACAATGGCTCTGATGGCCATGCATCAGATGGTGTGCCGAGTTCTCACTTAGAGCACTTCTCTGGTGTTTCTTCCCAAGGTCGGCTGGAAGTGCCTGGAGGGGTACCTCCAGGCAGCTCTTTCGAATTTTCTAGATGCAGTGTGTCACGCGAGTGGTCGCCTATGGTTCCTCGCGAGCCTCACTTCATGCAGGAAGTGTTCACAGCACCCTGTGATGCGATACTTCCTCAGCCAACCCTGAGCAGTATGTCGGGACAGACCCAACAAGATCTGCCCATCCGCAGCAGTGAACAAGATGCCTACGACTTCTCGTCGCTCGATGTCCCCGCCCCATCCTGGGACTCTATAGCTGGAGGATCGTTCGACGTCATGCAGCCAAACAACCTTTTCATACCGCACGAGAGTCATCTACCAGAACATAATACGCCTCCGCATGTTCCATTCCCAACTGGACTCAATATTCCTGCCACCCGTGTCATCCCTCCCACTCCCGTCAACCCTGTCATGATGGGAAACCTCACGATGGACACCAGTGTCATCCCTCCCCCTCCTGCCAACCCTGTCATGACGGGAAACTTCGCGATGGACACCCAGGGAGGGCCTTCAGGTGCCGCTGTCAGTTGGTCGGAGGTCAGAAGATGCCAACGCTGCAATGGAAAAACAGTTCGACCTCATTGATTGCGCCATCAATGAGCTTGTAGTCTCGACTGGCATGCCAACGCAGCAAGTTTTGAATCTATTTCTCAAGTCTCGTGGCCGCGTCAATAATGGAACAAATCACTGGAACATCTACGGGCAATACTTCAAAGCCCACCGCCTGCGCGAGCTACAGCGAGCTGGCAAAGATGCGAATATTATCAGTAAGTCTGTTTTTGTAGTTCAGTGGTTATGACTCATGTTGGGATGCAGTCACATCGACCATCCAAGGCGAATGTTATAGGTCCTTCCAGGACGCATATCCTGAGGATTGGCAAGACATTCTCGACACATTTGACGAGACACGGATCGCTTCAGGCCCGCCTCTGACTGTTGCACAGCGGTCACAAGAATTCACGAGGTTGACAAAGAAAGTGACATCCATGGTAAGTCTTACATTGTGTACTTAATTTTTATGCGCTAATGGAGCATCCAGCTGGATCTGGCCACCGCAAAGCATGGCTTCGAAGCAGCGCTGCTTATGTGCGGGAAGGTTGTGAATCAAGATGCGTCAATTGGCTACATACACACGACCCCTGGTGCAGAAGAGGTAAATTCGAGCCATCAGTGTACCAAAGGCCTTGCTGACTGCGTGTTCTTTTAGTTTTGGGCTTCCCGCTGTCGTGCCGATGAGAACACGATGGTGGGACATTTTAAGGCCCATGTATAGTAAGTCAATTATATTTTCTTGTCTCAATACTTCAACTGATGTTTTTCCAGCCACCTGGCTTCTCTTGCCGTTGTTGAGGACGTTTACGGTGATGGCGGACTTCAACCTTCCAAAAAGGATATATCATTGCCTGGGCGGCGCACGCGCACCCCAGGGGTAAAAGAAGATGATGACGAGGTACAGGAGGTTCCCAACAAT